ATCGATTTTACAAAGTTGCAAACATTTATTTAATTGATAATTATAATGAATTTCTTATATTATCTTGTATTTATATATTTTGAGTTACATATTTAAATAAACAAATTCGATATTTTAATTATCTATGTATGAACTTCTCCTATATAATTTTGCATTAATATACTTTCAAATATTTATTTAAATATAAACATTGGGCATTAACTCATTCGCGCAATGCGCATGTAAAACTAGAACATATATACACACCGAAATATCAGCTCCCAAAGGAATATAATTAAAATTAGAGGACTGATTTAGATAATTATATATTATTGAAGGTCTAATTTAATACCTTACAAATTATCAAATTATGCTCCAAACATGTATCTACAATAATTTTTTGGTTGAATGTTTAGTTTGGTAACCACAATGTTTCAAGTTTAACTCTTTGTGAACATTGTTTATTAACTTTTTCGTTTTGAGCTAGTCAATTATAGACAACATGTCAACATATATTAGTTTATCTTATTATGACCTTTTACTAACAAGGGCATCCTCATGTAGCGATTACAAACTTTTTCATAATCAAAGTAATCTTTTCTTTGAAGATTAAGATGTATTGCATTCTATACATCTCTTCAAATATAAAATTAATAACTTAATTTGAAAGTAATATATTGGCATCAATCAGGGAGCATTTGATGTTAGAGTAGTATTAAATACATTATATTATCAGTTTATCACCGGCCATATTTTTGAAAGGGAAAATATTACAAAAATCATTTTTTTTTTAAATTTTTGTTTTTAAGGAATAACTAGTAATTCACTCGCGCGATGCACGGGAAAAAAATTATGTTATTATAAATATAAATAAAAAATAGAAAAATTAAAATATTTTAAATTATTTAATATAATAATACTTTTGAGCTTCCATTGGTCAAAGTATTTATTATTTTTATAGAATACAAAATTACAATTAAAATTAAAATTATAATTTTGTATCGTTAATATAATCTCTAATTATGTGCATATTCAAATAAACTTATAGAGAGAATTTACATAATTACATTGATTTATTCTTAATTGTATTTCATCTATATTATAATTTTCACAATACGAATAATAACTAAGATAATTACATTTGGAAAGCAAATTTCAAATTTTGTATGTGTAAATTTAAACTCTAATTGAACACATTTTTTATATGATTATATAATATATAGCTATTTTATTTTTCAAAAGTATATTTTTTATATGATTATATAATATATAGCTATTTTGTTTTTTAAATGTTGTGTGTTTTTTTTTTTTTAATAATAAAAGATGTTGTGATATTAATTGTAGCATTAATTATTTCCCAAACCATATAGCTTTATTATATAAAGGATGGTCAAATATGCTATTCAACTATACTGCAACTTACAATTGAGCCATCGAATTTAAAAGAAAAACTACAATTAAGTCTCTAAACAATGTAAAATAATGCATGCAATTTAACCTAAAATGACTTGTTGACTTGGTAATTAAAAGGCTGACGTGACGGTTACCGAATTTAAAATTTTTATTTTAATAAATTTAAATTAAATAATTAATTATTTTTTTTTTTTTAAAAAAACCCACTGGGTCGCTGGAGAAGGCGAGGTTGCCTTCTCACCGGAGAAGGCAACCTCACTTTCTCCCCGGAGCCGGAGAAAGCAATACTGGACCGCCTTCTCCAGTGAGAAGGCGAACATTATGGGTGGGGGGTGGGTTTTAAATTTTTTTAAAAAATATTTTTTAAATAATTAATTTATTTAAATTTATTAAAATAAAATAAAATAAAATAAATATTTTTTAAATGCATAACTGCCACGTCAACTCGTCATTTTAGGTTGAATTGCATTATTTGGAGGCCTAATATACTTATAATTTTTTTTGAGTTCAATGCTCCAATTTCAATTTGCTTATTGTGTACTTGGATGACTTATTTGATCGTTATCCTATTTATTTATTTTAAAATGAAATGCTTTTATTTATTTAGAGTGAAAATAGGCACTTCAAAAAATTCATGGGGAGAGAAATATTTGCGCAAATCAATTGGTTTCAAGTTACAATCATAGCAAGGTTGCCAGCAATTTTAGTTGAATTGTTTGAACAATACAAATCAACTTAGTAACTATAAAATTTTAAGTTTGATTTTCAGTATCTCATGAATAGATTTTCATGAACCCTTTTAACACAATCATGTGTTGAATCTTCACTTCGTAGAGACATGAAATTCGACTTCAAGTGAAACATTTCATGATCTTCCACATATGTAGGTGTTTGTAATAATTTTTGTATGCATTCATTTGTGTCTATTTGGGATGACAACAATGGAGATCACATTAATATATATTTATGCTTCCCAACTCCTTACCCCTAGTAACGGCAATGAATCAAGCCAATTAAATATATATTTCTATCTGTCCCCCCCTAGATATATATATATATATATATATATATATATATATATATATATATATATATTTTTTTTTTTTTTTTTTTTGAAAAACGCTAGATAATTTAAATCAATAGTTAATACCAGAGAAAATTCAATTTTGGTCACATGCATGACTATAGAGGCATTGTTAATTTCAACACCTGACTTTTAAAAGTGTCAATTCAGTACCTTGGTTATGTAATTTTTGTCAATTTTGGTCACTCTGGCCAAATTGACGGTCAAATTTGGCCAAAAAAATTTAATCCAACATTTAGTCTAGAAAGAATCAAAAGACGATTTTGCCCCTTAGATTATAGACTAAATGTTTGATTAAATTTTTCCGGCCAAATTTGACCGTCAATTCGGTCGGAGTGACCAAAATTGACAAAAATTACATAGTCAAGGTACTAAATTGACACTTTTAAAAGTCAGGTGTTGAAATTAACAATGCTCCTATAGTTATGTGACCAAAATTGAAATTTTCTCGTTAATACCATCTTAAGTCATATGATTATAGTGATTTTGTCACATTTAGTCCTAAACTTTCAATTGACTATCTGTGGTTCTTTTTCTTTCAAGTTTTTATCATTCGCGATCCAAATTAACCATCTCTGGTACTTCAACTATCAAATTTTAATCACCCATAGTCCTTATAGAAGGACTGCAACTGGTTAAATTTTGAAAGTTGAAGGACCATATGTGGTTAACTTGGACCACAGATGGTAACAATTTGAAAGTCGAAAGACCACGGGTGATCTATTTAAAAGTTTAGAACTTAACCTGACAAAACCATTATACTCGAAAGACTCCATATGACATTAACTCATCTTAAATCAACCTTCTACATCTTTATAGAGATCGATATTATTGATTTTATGACCATGAAAATTATCAACGGTCAACTAATATAATTGTAAAATGATCCGTGTATGAAAGTGTAGTATGTAGTGTATATTGCCTTTAAGTATTGATAATTGCGAACCCTTTTACAAGCCCCTACTTAGAGTGTATATACAAGTGACAACATTGAGTCTATATTTGGCAAACCTAGCTGAAAATGTAACTGAAAGCTTAAAATGAGTTATAAGCTATAAGCTGAAAACTAAAGAGTTGTCAAGTTAGTTGTTATGCTTGAAAGTGTTTGGTAAAATTAACTTTTTGATAAATTGATAAATGTAAAAAGACAATTTAAATTAGTTTATTTACATATTAAAATTTAACATTTTGTCTTTAAAAAAAATTAACATTTTAAAATAAAATTATTATCACAATCATGATCTAGCATCGCATAATGAAGTAGCAATATTGTTGCGAATCTCCTTCATCTAACAACAACAACAACAACAATAATTACGGTGAAAGTTGCGAATAAAGGAGAAGAGAAAAGAGTTTTAATTAGGAAGGATAAAGAATGTCATTTCTTTAAAATATTAAGGACAAAGATGGAAAAAAAAGTTAGGAAGCTACTAGCTTATTTTGAAAGCTTAAAATAAGTTATAAGCTCTTAAATAAGCTCTGCTTGACAGACTCTCAACAAAATTAAACTAAATTCCTAAAACTGCTTAATTGATTACATTTGATTATATTGGATTCTAATGCAACAAAATCTTCTTAAGATAGGTAACAAATTACCCAAATTATTATTTTCATAAACAAAAAAACCTGTCACAAAATCACGACTTAACCGTGTCGATGATGATACAACAAATATTAAGATATCTAGCTGTACATATAAATAGATTTTGGTAATCCTAATGGTATAACCGAATAATTACAATGATGCCTTCTTAGTATGTATGAGGTCGGCATTTGAGTGTGGGGCCTTCGGAAATGTCTGAAGTTGTGGGAAGAGTCAAAAGTCTCCTCCCACTAACAATGAATGTGCCTTTTATAGGTAACGCGGGGCAAATATACCGGACTGGTGACATATCTTACACAGGTTGGATATTGGTTGGGCGATCCTAACTGCTATATATGCTAAGTGTTTAGTAAAGGCTTAAAAGGTTATGAGATACGTGGCAGAATGTGATATGGCAAATCGTTCTAACTGGAGAGTACCTTTGAGCTAGATAGTTAGTGGAAAAAAGTCTGAGTGACCGGTTAAGCTAATAAGCTTCCTGGTCGGGTCCGATTGGGGGATGGTTGGTATGGTACAACATAAATAAACAAGGGAACTAATCAAGTGTGCATTGAGATTGAGAATTTCAGTTGGGAGGTAAGGTTATTAGCGGTCGAAAATGGTTACATATGATCGGTGTCATATAAATATACCTGGTCATACTAGTATATTCCCTATTAGAGTGCCATAAGTTTGTTGTGAACGAATGACAACAAGATCCCTTAGCTTGTCTTCACCCATCAGATATTCATAGTACAGATTGAACAATGTTTATTTAACTTTGTGATTTAACAATTGGGATCCTATTTTTCGAGTCCTATAGCCAGCCAAAAGGAATCAAATTGTTTCTTTCAAAGGACATCATTGGCATGACTTCCTCTCATTTTATACAATTGCAGCTTGTGCTCATCATTTTTCTTGTATCCATTAAAATCAAGCCCATAAAACAAAATAAAACACAAGATCATTGTTAGTACTTCTAGAAATACTTCAATAATTTCAAGAAACCTTCAATCACAATAACAATACAACACCAAAAACAATCTTCCAAATCATGCACGCATGCATGTAGGCACAAGTGCCAAACACTACCCCCACCCCCACCCCCAATGCAGCTAACAGACACAATAATTAACGTTGTTCCAACACTCCTAGTGAGCTAATTAAGGTTAGGCTGAAGTGTGGTCGTCTGTTTTGGTGGGTGCTGGGTATTTGAGAGCATTGAGTTGAACCTTCCTGAGAGCAGCTTTGCCAAGATCAATCCCACACACATCAGAGAGTCTCACCAGATTAAGCAAAACATCTGAGAGCTCTTCTCCCAGGTGAACCTTTTCTGCTTCATCCCAATCTGGGACACCCTTTGCCACCTCTCCTTTCCACTGGAATATTTCAGACAGTTCTCCAACTTCCCCTATCTGTCATGTCATAAAATCCAGTGGTTTTAGTCATCATGTGTATATGGGTTAATGGGATAAAGATTATTCGTTAAGATAAAACATCGTGAGATGTGACTTAGTGGTCGTGAGAAGTACATCTCGATCGAGTTGTGAATTAGCAGTCGATCGAGAAAAGCACATCTCAGGTTGTGACTCAACAACGGCCGAGAGAATTGAAGCGCGTCTGATCTCTAGTCGTGACTCAGTGACTCCAGTACATCGTGGGATGTGACTCAATAGCACACCGATTTTTATAACGAGATTCAAAGTCTGTAACTCTTAACAAAGTAGATATTACTAACCCTAATTTAATTGATAAACCAATTGATTTATGCCTCGGTACCATTTCCATCTCACACCAATATATATAATGAAAAAAGTAGGGGGGGGGGGGGGGGGGGGAGGATGAGTAAAGTACCATATTAAGAAGAAGATTTCTAGGGGTGTGGTACTTTTCCCAGTCTCTTTCTTTAACAAAATCCTGCATTTTCTTCTTGAGAAGCTCAAGGCTCACCTCCTCCATGCCCTCTTTTGAAACACAAGATATTTGCAGACAAGATTGGAAGAAGGAGAAGATCAGAGAAGATCTGTGTTGGACCATGGAAGAGTTGGCATGTATTTATAGATGGAATACCAGCAAAACTGGGGTAGCTGTATTGGTGGGAATGGTGGCCTCATTAGTCAAAATTGTAATCTAATAAATATTTTACCATTCAAGGCTTTATTGCTAGCTGTATTTAATTAAATTCTATTTATGATCAATCAATTAATTAATACTATAGATTTTTTTCCAAAAACAAAAATTATTTTCGTAAAGAACAATAATCCGAGATCGATTCTCACGAGCCTCATTGTGAGAACAACCTCTCAAAGTGAAGGGGCTCCTAGTACGCAGTAAACACATGTCTAGCCTCTGTGTTAAGCTGAATTACCATGATTTACATCATCCCAGATGTTGCGCTCTGTCGGATCGAAGCGTAGGGGGCCATTATGGTTGAAGATTCAGCCCTTTTGAAACAATAAAGTAATTGTTAGATTATGACGTAAATTTCTATAAAATATCGTTGTTGACGAATTCAAATCGATAAGATCAATAGAAACCAAATGTTGAACCAAATTTTACTGAGTTGCGTGCCCACATGAATTGAACCTTCATATTCCAAAATGTGATGATTATTGGATAAATCATTTTGACTAAGAGTTGAAGATGCTAAAGAAGGCAATGGCTAAGAAGGATTTTTTTTTTTGAAAAAAAAAATAAAAAAGCAATAAAACGTTTATATATATATATATATAGAGGGTCGCACTCAGGTGTGGCGACCCCTTCCCGTATGGTCATGTGGCGATTTTCAGAATACACCAATAGTTAAGTAAGATATATACTATCAGCGTCAGGAAATGCACCACAAAAAACGTACACAAATTAGGTACGCATCACCAACAACACACCATTAGGTGTGAGTAAAAACACCATACAGTGTTCGAAAATACACCATTGGGGTTGATGAGTTATATGGTGTATTTTTTGGGTCTGTTGTGTATTTTTTAGTATTTTTTTGTATTCATTGTGGTGTGTTTCCCTTACACTGTTGGTGCATGTTGTTAACACTGTTGGTGTATTTTGAAATTCCGCCACACGACCACACCTAACAACATGACCACATATGAGCATTATTCTATATATATATATATATATATATATATATATATATATATATATATATATATATATATATATATATATATATATATATATATATAGGCGAGTTCAGGTGTGGCAGTGTCTTACGGTGCGGCGATTTCTTACGGTGCGGCAATACCAATAGTTCAACAAATATGCATCATCAACGTTAGGAAAATACACCACACAAAACAGAGTAAACAGAGCCTGCATCACCAAACACACACCATTAGGTGTGAGTAAAAACACCATACACTGTTCGGAAATACATCATTGGGGGTGGTGAGTTATATGGTGTATTTTTTTGAGTTTGTTGTGTGTTTTGTGATGTTTTATTGTATTTCATTGTGGTGTGTTTTTATTACACCATGGTGCATATTGTTAACACTGTTGGTGTATTCTGAAATTTCGCCGCACGGTAAGACCCCGCCGCATATGAGCGCTCTTCTATATATATATATATATATATATATATATATATATATATATATATATATATATATATATATATATATATATATATATATATATATATATATATATATATATATATATATATATATATATATATATATATATAATTAACATGATAAATATTCTTGGTTTCTGTCGTTTGGTGTTGTCCGATCAGATAATAATATATATATTTGGCATAAATTATTTTATTTTTAATATATTAAAATAAGAACATTTTTGTGTGTGATTATATATTTACATTAATTTAGGTAGCACAATATAATAGAGATAGGATTGTTTGTCCCTAAGATACTACATTTCTTGATATCTTAATCAAACAAATTTAAATATTTTATTGACTTTCATATTGAGAAAAAGATTTAATGGTGATAATAAATATATATATATATATATATATATATATATATATATATATATATATATATATTTTTTTTTTTTTCCTCTCCTCAGAGAATAGTTATTCCAATTAAACTCACATATAGTATGAATCGACTAGACATTTGGGAGGATGTAAATTACGGTAATGACTCAATGACTCATCATCAACAGACTGGACCAAATGTCGATGTATGTTGATGTGCATAAAAAATCTGTTCATTTTGAACATAATCCCCATACTATCATTGTCAAGATTTGAACCTTGATCTTTTCTCTCAAATATTGCTTACTGAACCCTAAACTCGTACTTGCTAACTTTCAAACCTATTAGCCGTTTTTTACACGACAGCTACTTTATAGTACGTTTTGTTCGAAGATTCTGAGAATTTGCTACTGTTTGACTATAAACATGGATCGGATCAAATTAATTCCTTCTTTCGGCGATACATTTTGTTAGGAATATAGCGGAATAATGCAGAAGCGAAGAATCGGAAATTGAGAATTATAGAAGTTAAATAATAGGGAAAATATAAATAATGACAAAAGAATTAGGAATAAGGGAAATATATATATTATAACATAAAAGAATAGAAAGAATGAATATAATATATATATATATGCTACGTAAGAGTTAAAAAACAAAGGAATGAATATATGAATTGATGTAAGAATTGATGCATTATTACAAAAACAAACAAAGCTATTTATACTATTCTAAATGAGAGAAAAAAGGCATTAAGGAGGGATGAAGTGCAACGTGGAGAAAGCTGCTAGCTTTATGGTGAGAGTGGAAGATGCCAACATGGTGAAATGGTCCATGTGTAAATATTTGAGCCACACATTCCCAACAATCTCCACCTTGGATCAAATTCATTGTGGGAATTAATAGCTGGAACAGCCGACAAAGCTCGAGCACTGCTTGAACTTAGCAATAGGAAAAGCTTCAGAATAGCAGGATGGATCACCATCAACTTCCTATGCGACTGAAAGAGCATAAGCAACCATGTTGGTTTCATCATCACTAGCATACCTAGCAGGTTTCTTGATTGTCCTCCTAGGCCGATCCATAGCAATGGAATACTCTCGTAGTGGCTCGACGAGAGGTGTTGTGCTAGTAGATGCATCATCTTTAGTATTACCGTCAGCAGTAGTAACACTATCAATAGGCCTGAACTCAAACTCCACCTTCTCACCAGTACTTTGCGTCTCACCTGTACTGGGAACTTTTCCAGAAAAAAGTAGTGCATTTTCATCAAAAGTGATATCTCGACTCAGAATGATTTTCCGAGAATCAGGAGACCATAGACGATACCCTTTTGACTCAGAAGCATAACCAAGGAAAATACATTTGACAGCTCTCGGGTTTAATTTACCCGTACTAGAATGAGCATAAGCAGGACATCCAAAAACTCTTAAAATAGAGTAGTCAACAGGATTACCTGACCAAACTTCCTCTGGAATTTTGAAATCAAGGGATGAATGTGGAGATCTATTTACCAAATAGCAAGCAGTAGAAACGGCATTGGCCCAAAAATCACGTCGTTTCCATAACCCAGCATTAGAGAGCATACAACGAGCTCTTTCCAATAGAGTCCTGTTCAAACGTTCGGCAACACCATTCTGCTGGGGTTTACCAGGCAAGGTCTTGTGCCTGGCGATTCCATTTGCCGCACAAAAGTCATTGAAATCTGACTCACAGAACTCCAAGCCATTGTCTGTCCTGAGCTTCTTGACCTTTTTACCTGTCTGAGTTTCAACAAGTATTTTCCACTTCTTGAAAATAGAAAATGCCTGATTTTTATGTTTCAGGAAATAGACCCAGACTTTACGAGAAAAGTCATCAATAATAGACATAAAATATCTACAGCCTCCCATAGACTGGAATTTAGTTGGTCCCCATAAATCAGAATGTATGTATTCCAATACATCTTTGGTACGGTGTGTAGCAGCAGAGAAACTAACCCTCTTTTGTTTCCCAAAAACACAATGCTCACAAAATTGTAATTTACCCGTACCTGAACCAACAATGAGGCCTTTCTTGCTCAGGAGATGCATGCCTTTCTCACTCATATGCCCCAGACGCATATGCCATAATTGAGTGAGATCCGCATCAGACATCGATGAGGATACCGCTATTGAACCTGTCACAGTACTGCCATGCAAGACATACAAGCTTCCAGAACGAGAAGCTTTCATGAG